GGGACGAATCAAACGATTTCACGCTCCAGATTCTAGATTCTCTTTGAATCAACGCGAGCAGGAAGCTGCAAGGAAGCTGCGAATGGTACGGCCATTTCGCTTTCGAGTTGCGAACATCTGCGCGACCGCGCCCTTTACGCGCCGCGAGGTCGACAACTTGGCCAGGGAATTGCCGAAGGGGCGCGACATTTCCGGGAGGAAAATCGGCCGATCGAGGAAAAATGCGAATAGACCGGAGAAAGGGTGAACCGCTCGCGGAGAATTCACGGAAAATTCGGGGGACCCGGAAGAGGCCGCGTTTCCATCCCCGCAGCTGGTCTCTCCTAGAGGGTGGTTTTAATTCTCGTGTGGGCCGCGCAATTACTTCCGAGGCATTCGGGGAACCCTCGCCACGTGTTTCGTCCTCCTCGACGTAATTTCATGAAGAATGCGACAAAGGAGACCCTCCACCTTTCCCGGACGTTCGGCGCTTTCCACTTTGCCCAAAAAGGCGAGGACCTCGTGCTTTTTGAGCCTGAAGAGGCGCGGCCCGTCCACTGACACGGTTTCCCTCGAGGGTGGTTCTCGCTCGCCTCCACCCCGACGACCTGGCACTTCTTCGACTAATCACTGAAGTGCCCTGCAAATTGTCAAAAGCGAGGCAACCCGGTATCGCGTACCAATTTACCTTTTCGTCCCCTTTCTCGATAAAAAGGACATTTCTCTCCCCACACCGCGGAATTCCGCATCATGCTCGGAAGGAGCGGAATCATCGACCTCCATGGCAGGGTCGGTGCTCCTTTCAAGATGGCTCTTAAATGCCTAATTGATCATCTCCGTGCAGCATCCTGGCCCCATACATCATGCCCCGGGCGCAGGACACGTCAACGCGGGGTAATCGGCTAAATATCTGGCGGTGATCGATCCATCGATATTACCTGCGAGGTCGAGGACACTTCCAGGCCCACTTCAGGGTCCCTCTCGACTAGGACCCAAACTCCCTTGACATCTAGCCGAGGGCCTTTGCATTAATTCTAGGCTTCTGGATTTCCAAGTTAGAGCCGATCTCCGATATCCGAGTGACCGTCATCGCGATCGATCCATCGATCCGCTGTCATTCACACCCTGAAGAGTCGAGATCCACCTCTGGTTCACGACGTGGAACCTTGTGTTTGGTGCTTCGTAATCTGATTCCCTATCGACACAGGTTCCCAGGAAAGTGGGCATAAATTAGCTCCACCCCCGCGCAGGAAGTGCGGTACGTCTTCGAGTAATGGCGAGGAAGAAGACGCCCGCGCGGGAATTCTTCCGGTTAATTTGATCGCGGATGCGTGGCGGAATCCCTGTGGAAGTTCGTGAATAAATTTTCCAGATTAAGGCTCGGCGTTTCCGCCGGTGGATAAATTAATCCGACGTAGCAGTCAGTCCGAATGCTCATCGGGCCGGTCCGATCAGCGCGCATTATCATCGCCCTGCCATCGGATGAACTCTGCAAGGCGAAAATAACCAATCCCGATGAGGATGCAAATTGAGAATCCTTTTCGATCAATTTTTCACGCTTACGTAGGGAGTCTTCTAAAATTTATTTTTAATTCGCCTCATTATATTTTTCATTATTATTGATTTCTTCACGTTACTTGCATATGTGATCCTGAGCATCCCGGAGCTAGGACATCGCCTCGGGTTTATAATTCCAAAGTAGGACCTCTTCCTCGCACGAGTAACGATTCTTCGGCGACGTGCCAGACACGTTCTCCACGACTGCTACCGATTGGCATTATCGGTTTGTTTAAATTCCCTTCGGGGAACGCTCGTCTTCGAGTCGGCCTATTCGGAGCCGCTTGGATGGTCCTGATGACTAAAATTAGGAGCCATTACGTCCTTCGTGAACACTCTGAAAATTCGGAAAATTCCTGGCTCCTGAACCATGAGAACTATGAAGTTCATATTGAATCTGGAGGAAAAAGAGGTCGTCCCGATACCCTGGAAATTCTTCTGGGGCAGAAGGGGAATCCCTTTATGGAAATTCGAGGAGGTCCTTCCAGGTTCTGACTGAGGTCCTGACTCAGATTCTCGACGCGATTCTCGCCCGCGAATCAGAGAAGGACACGGATTCGTCGCCGCATCCGGATATGCTAAGCGGGGCAACTACTTAATTCCGAGGAATATAAACTGCCGCGAAGGGAGAGTCCGGGGAGGTAACGGGTGCCACGGCTGGGTCCAAGATATACGGCCGAAAGTTGTGTAAACGTCTTCCTCTGCAACATATTTCTAAAGCTGACCTGTTGCTCGCCGCCCGGCTAAACTGTGCGTCACTTTCTTATGCAGCTAACTCTCGAAGGAGCACGCCGAGCAGAGGTTGCCTCCGTGTTATACTTCTCGAACGAATTAGAGGGGTACCACTCTACAGGCCCACCTTGAAGAACCACTTCATCTCGCGAAATTTTCACGATCCACCAAATTTTCTAAATCTCTTTTTAATTCATTCTCGAGTCTCATTTTTACGCAAACTAGTCAGGGATGGAAAATCCAATCGAAGGTCAACATGGACTTCCACGGTGGATCGGTACTCGGAATCGCTACGAGGCGTAAAATCGAGAAGGCGGACGCACCTCCACCCCTGAAAAACACCCCTTTACCTCTCCGAGTAACTCATCGCATTACCTCGACAAAGCCGAGCGGTAACGATCCCCGGCGTTGTCGGCATAGCCGGAGGGTGCGAGATTTCTCGTAGCACCGGGAAACTCTTTGTTTACGTAAGTTTCGAAAATCTAAGTTCGTCCGATTCGCTTTAGCCCGCTCTGGGCTCGGGCGAGGGATTCCCTTCGGATAAATACCGGCGCGTTGATAATTCCCCGCGTTATCAGGGGCGGGTGCTCGATCCGAGGGGGCAGAATTCAATTAAACTCGAGTCTTCCTTTCGACGTTTCGAACGACAGCCCTTTGTCGCCCACCAAATGCTCGGGGGGAAAAAGATGACGACGACCGCGCACAAAGTGGGGCCGATAAGCGCGCTCGCTTATCGGAGGCAGCCCTTTCGGTGCGAGCCGTGATTAAAATCTGGGGATTTTTCCCGCCGCGGAGAATATTCCTTTTTTTTTCCTCTCCCCACTTTCGCGAGGGAACTCTCGTCCGGAAGGGACGTCTCCGCTGCGGAGGAAATGTTTCCTGCAGCAGGGGAGCATCTTCCTTAATTAAGGCGACCATTGTCAATATGGCCGTCGCCTCGCGCGTCGACAATGCTCGTTGGCACGTTTAACGAAGTTCGGCTCGAAGAATCGCGATGTCTAAGGACGTCTCCCTGGAGAAGAATGTCCACGTTTGTTCCGCGGAGGGACGCGTTTCCGCGTACCTGCCGCGCAAGGGGCGCCCCCTTTTGGCGCGACTCTAAGGGGTCGCCCGCCCCTTCGAGGGGGGTCCTTCTTCTTACCCCGGCGTATAATTGATTCTCGGTCCCCGCGACTCCGTCGAGCGTTTTCGCCTCCTCGAAATTAACGAGCTGCCCGAATTCAGGGCCTGACAAAACCCGGACGGACAATGGCCCCTTTCGCCGGAGGTTTCGCGTTCGCTTTCTCGATGCCGAAGAATGAATCGGTCTGCTGCCCCTCGGCGGCATTCAATTTGCGTTTTCGAAACACTTTCCGGAGGAACCCGCCCCTAAATGCCTTGGGGTTCCTCGACGTCGACCCCCCGCGACGCCATATCGCGTTATCAGACTTCAACGGCGGAAAATCTCGATTTCACCAATTACTTGACTTTTTTCTCCTGGCATTTTTTAATGAAAGGGACAGAAGTTTCGGCGAAATCTCCCGAAACATGCGGATCCTATTTACAGGGGAACCACCTGGGCGGTGGTCTCGGTATATCTCTTTAAAATTGTATCGATTGCAGGGTGGAGGTTCGCGTTAACCCGAGCCATTTGTAACGCACGGCTTGGGGGAAAAAATCGCCCAAGCTGCGACGTCGTACCAGTACAGGCCCATTTTAATTCCTCACGTCTGACCCGAATATCAGAAAGTACGCGCGTAATGCGAGCGATTGAAGCGATTTGTTACTCGAAGCAGGCTACTCGGTCCGTGCCGGGGAAATTGATGGTCCCTCGAATCCAGGCCACGCCTCGCGAAGTAGGAGCCTCGCAATTCATGGATCTTTCCCTCCGCGGTCTCCGAAATTCACGGTAATAGCTCGAATTTCAAGGCAGACCCTGAAACACAAGTAATCACCTGGCGATATGACGCGGATAATTTTTTACGAATTTTCCAAGGAAAGAACCATGCCGATATTCTGTACCTACTCCAAAAGAGGCGTTCGAGGACCGCGTAGGTCTTGGACTTTTTACGCGGATAATTACACCTCTTTGATGTGGGAGGACCTTTTATTTAACGGAGTAGCACGGTCTACTTTCTGAGATATTGGCACTCGTGGCAAAAGTGCCCTTGTTTCACCGGCAACGTCTATATTCCCCGTCTACTCGGGCAGGCAGGGTATAAATGGCCCCACGTCTTCTTTGGGCGGAAATTCATGGCGCATACCTCGTCTTTCTCAATTTTTCCTACAAGCGGGCTGCCTATTATCTCCACCGAGGCAAAATAAAAATTAACGACGCCTCCTTTACGGGACACTTGAAAACGACGGGGGAGCTCGGCATCCGTGTTCGGTGATACTATGGCCGCTCGAAATTTATTCAAATCGTGATTTAAACCAATTGGCCGATCAATTAATAGGTGGACTGCGTTACCATGGAGCTCGGGATAGGGCCGACTAATCTTCGGAGAAAAAGAAACGGTGGGGAGCTACTAATCCGGAGGAGAGCCGAGGTGAAGCGGGCCAGAGGTGAGCCGGACTGGACCAGGCGCAGAGGGTGGAGGGCTATGGGGGGTCGGCAAGGGTTGGAAAGGGAAAAGGGCGATCCCGGGTCGGCCGGGATACGGGATAGCGGATTGGGACGGATGGGTTGATTGATCGGGTACGCTTGTATTGTTCCAGGAGGAAGCTGAATCGACGTAACGGGCTACGCCAGGATGGCCAGCTGGCCGCTGAGAGCCGTCATCCTGTTCGGTGCGCACATCCTCGCCCTCGGTAAGTCACTCCCAGGGAATCTCTTTTTTTTTTTCCCCATCTAGGTAGAACCACGCAGCTTCCGGTCAGGTTCACGGGGAACCTGACCAGGGAAATGGAGGAAATGCGGACCGAGCTCGTTAGGAAAGGACCTCCAGCCGATGGCTGATGGCTAATGGCCGACCATGACTGATGGGTGATGATCGATGGATCATGGCTGATGGATAAACGCTTATCGGTGGAACTCGGGACACCCTCCCACTGTTTAAAAAAAAAAACCCAATCGTGAAACGGGTCAATGGAGTATTTTCAACCCGTGAAGGGTCATCCACATAAATTAGAAACTCCCCCTCCGGGGGCGCTCGCGATGGATCTCCGTTACCGTAGGCACCAGCGGTGTTAAGGCTGATCTATTTTGCGGACACGTAATTACCAAGCCGACGGAAAGTAATTTCGGGATCCGGGTGGGGGGCAAACGGAATGGGAACGCCCAAAGCGTGCTGATCAATGCCTCTGACGCAGTGCCGATGACCAACACCACGGTACACCTGCGGTCTCGTTCACGTACGACACCTCGTTTCCGGTTACACTTGGAATTCCCTTTTGCCCCGTAAAACTGCTCGACGAATCCACCTGGTAATTGTCATCGACCAAATTGACCCGTGCAATATGCCGTGAGTGCGTCTCTATGGACCCTGCCAACGAGGCCCGGTCTTCTGCCAGCCATTTCGAAAGTGCGTGTTTTCTGCCCTTTTCTTTTTCTTTTTTTAAGCCCCACAATCGTTAGTTTTCGGTATTTCCTAGACCTGACTGTCAACTTCAACTGGCAGGGGAGTAAATCGCGCTCCGATATGCGAAGCATCGCGGAATTTGGACCACTTTTTGTCGCCCTTAATGGCGCGCCTCGACGAAGGCGTGGGCCGGTGCGCGAGCTGACGTGATATTATTCGAATAATGCATTCACGGCATTCTGCATAAAATTCCGGTGCACAACGCGTGCCAGATTCGTGCACGCTGCTGCACCCCGAACCTATTTAATTACGGGCGGGGGTGCTTCACGCGTGACGTCACGCGAGATCGACCCGGACAATTCAGGGAACAATTCGGAATACTCTTGGGTTTCGCGAGAACCTCGTGAAAAGGGTTCCCGAAATTATCAAGGATTTTCAGGAATTATCCCCTGGGGGATGATTTCCATGGTCTCCGTTTCGTGCCCCAATTTGGACGAGGTAACTTAATTAGAGGGGGAATTATTTTAGGAACCGAAACTTTTATGACGAATTTAAAAGACGGATCTACTGCATCGTTCTAGAAGAGGTTTAGAGCGGGATTGTGGGAAAACTTTTGGGATGACAATTTTTCGCGAGGGTGGAAGTCGAAGATCCGGGATGCGATGAGTCCTCCGGCGGACTTCGAAATTGAATCCTTCTGGAAATAATTCCAGGTCATGTCCTGGACCGATTCATTTCCTCGAGACTCGTTCTTCGTAAATTGCCAATCTGCCCAAAGTTACTTCCGCTTGTTCACCCTAAATAGAGCCTTCCCTCCCCGGTGTTTCCGGTCTTCGATTCGGACACTCCGGCGCCTCTCGGATAAAGTTTCACCTCGACGCCCGAAGTCCCTCCCTTATGGAAGCATCCAATTACCCCTAACAACTAATAGTCGAGATGTTAAATTGCACCCATGTGCACCTGTACCTTGAGCCAAACCTGACGCCTTGAACCCAATAGGGAAGATATCGACCAGCTGAAGTCGATCGCTAAAATTGAAATTGAACCTCCCAAAGGAGATCAAAAGAAACTCGCAAAAGAAATTCATTTTCCTCATATTCCGCAATTTTCGAATCGGCCAGAATTATTTGTGCAATTTCGCGTCTCGATGTCGCTACTCGTTCGGAGGCGCCTTTTGGACGACGCCAAAAGCTAACGCAAACCGATGTACTTTTAAGCCGAGCAAATAATAAATACGGCCCAGCAGGGCCGTAAATAAAACCTGCACTGCACGTCCTGATATGCGCGTACACGCGTGCAAGTACAGCTTCAATTATCCGTTCTCGGATTTGCAAGTTTACCCGTATACGAGTACCTCGCTTTGAAACCTGCCGCCATGAAAATTGGCTGCGATGACGAAAATGAAAAAGACTTGTCGACGAACAAATCCGCTATCGAAAAACACAAATACGATAATCCTCTCCTGTTTTTTCAAACCATTGTCAGGTACCTGAAAAAAGTTCCAGCAGCGACTCTGCAGCTTGACATCACAAACCATGGAGAAGATCTCCAGGAGCGATCGTCCAGGAACTCCTCGGAGGATCATCAGCGAAAGACACTTGTTGCCCCGAGGACGCATCGTCATCGGAAACGCTCAAGAAATCGCCATAGAAATCGGGGAAATGCAGAGAAGCGACTCCTGGGAGGCCAACGATTTCTCCTCGGGGATCTCTTCTGGGCAGGTCTCCTCGGGGAAGAGGCTGCAAAATGGAGCAGCCATCGGCACACCGGCTAGCGGTTGCCGCCATAAAGGAAGAGCCGGAGAAAAAAATGTAGGAATGCCCGCCGAGAGGGCCAGGAGAGCAAAGGGACGAGGGAAAGTAAGGAGGGCAAGGAAAGCGAGTCCAAGGATGGCTGGCAAGATAGTCCGTCGGAGTAGCCAGAAAGGGGAATTGTAGGGGAACGCCGGGTCTTTTCTTAAAGATGCGAGGCAAGAGGCACTTGTTGCGCAGAAAGGAGCGGGCGGTGGGTGGTGGGTGGTGGGCGGCAGTGGGTGGGCCTTCGGCGCTGGTAAAGCGAGGAAAAGTGCGGGCTGCGAGAGAGACGGAGGCTAAGAAATCGAATTGATTCTCTTTTACGGGCTCGCGTTACTTCCTTTTACTGCCTGCGACTCGACTCTTGACCGGGGTCTCCTCGCTTTATTTATTTATCGGCCCCCCGCGAACCGCGGCGAAGATCCTCAGGACTCCTCGGGAGCCGCGGCTTTACGAGGCCCTTCGGCGATTCGGAAACCCTCGAGAAATGCTCCCCGAGGTGACGTTCCACCGGGAATCCCGGGAAGTGATCGCGCCCCTGGGAAAAAAAAAGTGTATAAAAAAAGAGGAAAGGCAACCACGCGCCACTTCGCTCGCGCGAGAAAGCGCAACCCACTGGGAGCACCTCGAGGACCCTGGGGAGGAGTGGATGCAAACAAATTTTGGAAAATCCCAAGGAGCTGAAACATACGACCCGGACCTCGAGGGCGAGGTGCTGCACCCTACTCTCCATTAAACGGACGGACCTACCCCACGAGAAATGTTTCACAGGAAATTCGCAGATTAAATCGGCGAACGTCAAATTGATTGCACCGAATACCTATCACGGGAACGTTCGTCCCGACACCCGGCCGCTTTATTTATGGCCCGCGCGTTTTGCCGAAATTTTGCAGGTGGAAGGAAATTTTCATCCCCTCTGGGCGCATTTTATGGGAATCATTTAAATCCGGGCTCACTAGTTAATTCGTCGCGCTTTTTTGGAGGACTGTGAAATTTTCAAAAATTTCGACCGCGCTGGGAATCGACTTCGGGGGGGTTTCTTCGAGATTTCGAAGTCTGGGAATCGGTGGCCACGATTAGACCTAACGATGCCGAATGACACCGACGTTGCGAAAACCGCAGCCGGGACCCGGCCGCACTTACCGTTTTACGAGGCTCTCCGGTACCTCGGAAACGTCGCGCGGATATCCCCGGAAGGAGAGATTCCCCAGGGAATGCGAGGAACCGATTGGATGGTCGACGGAAGACAGAGACGTCTCTCACCTGCGTCCATTTCAGTCCGGGACGAGCCTAATCGCGAGAATCCTCCGCCCTGCAATTGGGACCCCCTCCACCGTCATAAAGTATTTTAAAAATTAAAATAATATAACTGCAATCAATTATAAACTCTGGAAGTTACCTGAGGAGACAATTCCGAGGAGATTTCCCGATCCCTGAATATCCTGCCAATTCCTCGAGGAGAAATGGACTCGGGCATCTTTGAGCCCCTTCGAGGGTCACTTCGAGGCGGACGACCTCAGAGTTTGCAGCGTCTCTTCCGCGTTTTACCCAGCAGAAAGCGATCGGATCCCGGGTAAAAAGACACCCTTGCAGGGATTGCAACTGCGTCAATTACGACCGCAAGAAGCGGCAGGGGGAAGGGGTCGTTAAGGAACAAAGTTCGACTAATTTGGATGGGGAGCTTATCCAATTTGCAGGCGAGCGTGAGACGTCGCTGCCTTGGCAACAGTCGGGTCGTGTCAACGATTGATTAATTTCCACCACCGACAGAATCTCGGAATTTCTCTTCATCGATGCCGTCCATTGAATTCCTGGACTCGGGGTCGACGTTCGAAATGGCGGTACAAATTGTAAATGAAACGAGCATTTAAAAAAAAAAATCGATCGATTCGTGTTACCTACCCTGGCCGAAAATGGTCATTCTGGTCCCGAGTCAAAGAAGTGTCAATGCAGGGGGTAGTTTCTCTCTGGTGCGAGTGACATCCCTGGGAGGGTTCGCGAGAATTTTTTTCTCGGGTCACTTTTACCCCTCCATGCCATTGTTGAAGAATAGTGAGGCAAAAACGTCTCGTGCACACAAGGGATGAACGTCCTCAAAGGGATGCGCTCCCCTAAACAGGTGTTACACGCTGCTGTTGAGCTCTCCTCTTTTATGATATATTCATGTCAGAGAATCGCTCGGGGCAGTTTCTATGAGGATGAAGTTTCGAAAATAAATCGGACAGTTAGAGCCATTATCTCGCCCCTGGGGAGCGTTCAGGGGTGGCTCGGAAGTTTTTACGCTCTTTAGCGGGTGTGCTTTGGTCTTATTATTTTCCTTATTCCGCCGATCCGTGTACACGGGGGGTGGCTGGTTTCCATTTAAAGAGCTCGCCTCGCCCCGTATAACCCCCCGGCATTATTTATGCCTTTCCATTTTTATAACTTTTCGTAGCGAATCCCCACCCCCCGAGCGCAAGGTCACGTTGGTCCGATGCACTTCGCAAAGTTCCTCAAA